GATTTAAACTAATTGAAATCAGTTTAAATGAAATATTTTCCCATTGGCTTTAAGTTGAAATTTCGAAGGTTTTTCTCAACGAGAAATAGAGTTTAAATTTAGTTTTAAAAGTTGAAGTTTTTTTGAGTGAAGGTAAGCGGAGAAGATGAATTTAAAAGAGTTATTCCTCAAGATCTGTTCAAACATCAATATCTAGGAAAAAATCTTAAAATTTTTTAACTGAACGCAGCAGGCCCAAGCTTTTTGTGGGACCTCACATGGCCTCAGAGAACGTTTCTTGATGGGCAAAGTTAAAAAAATACTTTTTATAAAATAGTTATTTTTTATGATTATGAAATTACACGAAAAGAGGTGCAAAGCCATTTAAAAAAAAAATAATCTTGAACAATTCAAGAAAGTTTTTTGTTTTGTTTTTTGATTTTAAGAGTGTTTAGATGCTGATGTATATGCTTTATTTGAGGCTGTCATAGATTGTGTTAGGAAACAATTTTTAACATTTTTTTATAAAAATATTTTAATTTTCTAAATATAATATTTTATCTGTATTGTTCTTGGCTTAACATAGTTTTACATGGGTTTATGTTCCCCCTCTCCTTGAAAGATTTATTTCTCTGTATTTTAGACATTTGGACGTTTTTCTTGCTATATTGGGGCAAATAAGTGGTTTTATGGGGAAATTTGAAGTAAAAGTATTCATAACTAGTAAAAAATTGCCAGTCGAAGTCAAATTTTTGATATTTCCAATTATTCGAAAGTCGGTTGGTTGGTTGGTTGGTTGGTTAATAGGTTGGTTGGTTTATTGGTTGGTTGGTTGGTTCGTTGGTTGGTTGGTCGGTTGGTTGGTTGATCGGTCGGATGGTTTGTTGGTTGGTTGGTTGGTTGGTTTGTTGTTCGGTTGGTTGGTTGGTTGGTTGGTTTGTTGGTCGGTTGATTGGTTTGTCTGTTGGTTTGTTGGTTTGTTTGTTGATTGGTTGGNGTTGGTTGATTGGTTTGTTGATTGGTTTGTCGGCTGGTTTGTTGGTTGGTTGGTTGGTTGATTGATCAGTCAGATGGTTTGTTGTTTGATCATAACTTGTTCTATTTCTCGAATATTATTATTCTGATTCTTATTCAATTTGTTGTCGTCATTTATTTGTTATTTTTACTAAAAGTCAAAATTAAATTGTTCTTGTTAGTGATTGGTATATTCAGCCTAGAAGTTCAACACCTTGTAAACAGGTATTTAGATATTTATTTTCAGGGTCCTGGGATCTAACTCTCCCCCCTTGCCCCAAGACCTTAGGGTCCTGGGATCCCCCCCCCCCACCAGGTGGGTAGGGTCCTGGGGCCCCGAGAATCCCAAAGTATTTTGGAAATATTGTTATACTATAATACCATTTATATAATTTTGTATTTATCTTTTTAAAAAATCATTTTAAAAAATAAGTTGTTAAAATATTAATTTTATTAATTTATCAGATGAGGGTTCCCTCAGGGGCATAATGGAGGTTTAGCCTAAGGGGTGAACTTAAGCTGCGCGAAAACGCGCTGAAATTTTTTTGTTGGTCCGCAGTAAACCCCTGGATTCCATCCATATCGAGAGGAATTTCATCAAATTTTTTTAATTTGATACTCACATTTTTTTTCATTTTGATGTTTTCTTTTCATGAATTTGTTGATGTTGGTGACAGTGATTTAAAACTTCCGAGTAATTAATAATTTCCATAATTTACTCAAATTCAAGTTCAAGCAATAGCAGTCCGCCATAAGAAATAAACATCATAAGAAAACCTTATCTTCAAATTAATTTTAAAAAATTTTAAAGGATTTATTTTGTCGTCAAGGTTGCTGCTCAGCCCTGGAGTCGACCTCAGGATGACCCTGCAGCAAACCAGCTGGTCAAGAAACTAAACCATATCCAGGTAAAAAAACACCTTGATTCAGAACTTCTTTATTGTCTCTGGATCAAGTATGGATCTAAATCTTATGCAGACCTTTGTGGTCTTACACAGCAGGGATTTCTTTAATTTATTAAGCATTTATCCTCAAATTGAAAGTGCCCAACTTTTATATCGAGATCAAGCGTCTAAGATTAATGACACTCCACACAAAGTTCCAGATTAAAACAAATCAAAGAACAAATCTAGTTTGGACAAACCAATGATGGAACAAGTCAATTCTGTTAAAATAAGGTTAATAACACCACAAACTATTCACAATAGGAAGAAAACCATCTTACTGACTGAATTCGTGTAAATGTTAAATGATTCGCTTAGTCCAGTTTTATAAAATGGGTGTCCCCAAAATTCAAGAGAAGAATAATATTGTTTTAATTGAAATTTAGGTTATTTACGTGAATTGCATAGCGAAAATAAGTTTAATATAATGTTATTCACATACCATTGGTAAATGCCATTTTCTGGTGTATTGGGTCATTTTTTTCCTTTATTGAAACCCCTTAATGTTTAGGATTGTCTGCTGAGAAGACAGGATCCTGAACTGTTTTCTAGATTAGAGAAATTAGAAATATATCCACAGCTCTACGGGATACGGTGAGACAGGGGTGTTTATTTCTTGTAAAATTACCTCCTTTTGTAAATAATTTTTTGCGTATGCGTGCGCGGAACGACAAAATTTAATTCTAGCGTTTTATCCGCTGAATTGGAAATAATAAATAAACTTATGGGTAAAAAGTATCAAAAAGGATAAAAACCTTGTCCTTTGGTGTCTAATTTATATTTTCCCTAAGACTTGATCCAAGTAAATGCTGGTATCATCTCCGTAACAGAATCCTAAAACCGGAAAAATGTGAATTTGAACTCTTGAACTTATAGATCGTCTTTGTGTTATGTTTTGTTACTTGTTCTGATATTTTGTCCAAATACAATTTTTTTATAGTTTAGACAATAGATTTGATTAAAAGTTTTGCTGTAAAAATTATGATGGATCTATTTTTCTTAGTTGGCTGAGGCTTCTGTTTGGAAGAGAATTCCATTTCCTGGATACATTACAGCTTTGGGACGCCATATTTGCAGATAGTGGTCCTCCAGGTCATTCAGTACATACAGTACAACTGTACACACATTACTCATTTACAGTACATCTGTACTCAAGGTTACACAATACATATTTACAGTACAGCTGTATTCTAGGTTATTTACTACGCAACACATAATTACAGCACAACTGTAATCAAGGTTATTATGTACATAATATATTTTGACAGTACAACTTTGAACTGTACACAAAATAGGTACTGGAGATTATTCAGTACATGAAATACATATTTACAATTCTGTTAGTTTCCTTTCTTGTCTCTGCTAAGTTCAAGTCTGCAATGATCAAGAAACGAAGTTATCTTCTTATTTTTTTGTGCAGATCCAGATTTGAATGTTGCTGTTGTGAATAGGACATGCACATTACATTACGTGGACAGTACAGTACAGTACAGTAAAGTACAGTACAGTACAGTTTATTTATATTGTTTTCTTTCAGGACTTGTGGATCAAATAACAGTTTCCCTCCTAGTCTCAGTTCGAGATCTTATTCTAGGAATTTTATCAATCAATCAAATAAAATAAATCAAATCAACTGATCGATCAGTATAATCAAGATTTTCGTTTGATTTCTCAAAAAGTCTTTGTGTTTATTAAAGATGTTTGTTTTTCATAATTACTAAACAAATGTATTAATTGGTTGACATATTGATCAATTGATCCCGATTTGGATAACATGACTGATCATTTGATATCATGATTGTTAAATATATTTATAGAAATGTTATAGATTAATTGCTTTACTTATTTTTATTATTTAATTGATTGATTGATTTTAAGTATATGATTACACTGACGCTGTATCCCTGTTGATGAAACTACCGAGTAACGTTAGTGTTTCATTCATAATTGCCTTTGCACTACACCTCAAGGTTAGTTTAAAGGGAGTGACCGGCTATGTAAGGTAGTTGAACTGAGTATGCAGTGTTGTGGAAAGCTTCTTTCGGATTCATTTGAGACATAAAAAGCTTTTTAAAGATCTGTAAATCCTGAGTTTGAGCGCAAATTCGACGTTCAAAACTCCTACCTTGGGGAAATTAAATTGATTTGTTTACGATCCGAGTTGAATGTTGCATCTTTCTGAATTTGTATGGACAATACGTTCTTCGGTATTAGTCGTTTTTAACAATTTTCTCCTTATAGACGCAACAGATAAAAGTAAGATTAGAAGCGATCAAAAGCGCTTTTTTATCGCATTAAGTCTATACCCCCTTTCATTTTTCGCGAACACTCCCTTTAAATATTGCTGAAAAATATTATTTAATTATTAATTTTTTTTTCACAGGACCCGCTTCGGTTCCCACGGCCAACTGGTTCTGTATTTGAATGTGGAAACCGGCGGCCGGAAATATTTGAACATGTTCCTTTGCGTTCCCCCCAGCCAGTACACCAGTCCAGGAATATATTAGGTATATTTATTATTTAAATGCAAATATCACATACATATATATTTACGAAAACACAACGATTTTTATAACACTTTATTCATCAACACTGTGCTTCATAATAATTATACTGGATGCAAGCAATTTTCGGTAGGAATAATTTGGGTTCAATAACGGTTAATTGTGAATCTATATAATAAAACAAAAGATATTCGTATATATTCCCTATAGCCGGCCAAAATGCTGGACCGAATGGGTGGATTTTTGTTTCAGGGAACCCTTGAGTACCCTGGGACCGTAACATTGGCTAAAAAAAACATTCTTTTTTTCAAAAAGAGAATTTTGTTTTCAAATTCGAAAGTTTTAAAAAGTGTTTCTAAAATTCCACGGGCAACGCCGGGCACTTCAGCTTGTATGTTCTTTAAAAATATTATTTATTAAACCACATTTACCGAAATACCACTCTATAGATGGAGATAGGTTGAAATTACGCCTATAGTTAAGATTGAATTGTTTAGGTTCTAGGAGAAGAGAAAAGAAGGAGAATGGAGAATTATCTTTAAAAAGTGTGAAGACAGAACTTAAACAAATAGACAAATCTTTTAATATTCAACACCCAAGGTTAGATTCAGAGGCAGTCGGGGGGGGGGGGCTATGGGGGCTCGGCCCCTCCCCCTGGACCAGTGAAATCAGGGGGTCTTTAGGGATTTTTTATGCCCTAATGGTTGCTGAGGCCCCCCCCCTTCCTGAATGAAAAAAAAATCAAGCCCCCCCCACCTAAACTAATTCCTAACTACGCCCCTGGTTAGATTCAACCAATGGGTTTCCAATGCGCAACATATCTTATCTTGATCTGTAGCTGTCTATCTTATCTAGGACAATAAACTATTTTCCGTGACTGTTGTTATGGATATCAGAAGAAAAATAGAAATGTTGCGCATTATTGCGGTAAAACTTACCTCATGTGTAGCTAAAGCTTTGCATCTTCTTAAAGTCTAGTTTTTGATAATTAACTTAGGAATGTATTTGTTATTATTATGAAAAGCAGTTTTTAACAAAATATGATTAAACTCTCATAAACTTGAATAAAACGCTATTGCGCATGGAAACCCTGTTACTGTTTATTTTCCCCATCCATTTTTAAATTTGTTTGCTTGTTTATTTGTTTGTTTGTAACCGATAAACGTCAAAACGGCTGAACCGATCGGGCCAACATTTGTTGTAGGACCTCACATGATCCCATGAAAGGTTTACGGATGTCTAGACTAGAAAAATTTGTCTTGAAAAATTTATATTTTTCCAAATCCACGAAAAACTTAAGAGCAACGGTTAAAAGTTAAAATCGGGAATTGGGGCCGTGGAAGCCTGGTTTAAAATTAATAGTAACTCTCTTTTCATAATAACTATTTTTAACACTGTTATTTTGGTTCGCAGTGTTATAAAGTTTTTGGACAGAAATTTTCTCTTTATTGAGAAGGTTCAAGTCTTTTTAGATTTAATTTTGTCCCGAGCTTTAGCGAGGGACAAAATATAATCTAAAAAGGCGAGAACCTTCGAGATATAGAGAAAATTTAATTCTAAAAACTTAATAGCACCTCGTGTGAAATAATATCGTTAAAGGTAATTTTATGAAACGTTTCTGTACTTTTCTTATTTTAATGGCTATTTCTAGATCAAAAAAAGCTTTGAAACAAAGCAGAAGTCAAAAAATAAAGTTGATTTCAATTTTATTTTAATTTCAATTGAAAAAATATTTTGGAAATATCCAAAAAATTTGGAGAAAATCCGGGAAGCAATCAAAACTTTATAGCACATCTGCAGCTAAATTAACTTTATAGCACGATGATTATTTTGTACCGAGTTCATCATAATATTCACGATGAAGTTAGGAAGAATGTTAAAGTACAAAATAGTTTCAAAAATTTATTTTTAAAAATCCAAGACGTTTACAATGACAATGTCGTCAGTTAAAACTTCCAATTATGGGCTTCTCTGTAAGCAAGAGTGTACAATTATAGCTTTTCAAGATAAAAACATTTTTAAAAATCCTTTTTCAGAAATATCGCTTCCGAACTTTTTCCTACCAAAAATACTGAAAGAATCATAGTTTCATCAATTTTGTCTCGTGTTTGATATTTTAGTTTTTAACAAATTTGTTATTTTTTTAGAGATCTTCCTGATTTTACTGTAGTGGAGATAAACGATCTGAAAGGTGACAAATTCTACCAATTTTGCGCTAGATTTGATGCCAATTTTAAAATTTAGGCTTCCAGTGCGCTTTGCAACAGAATAGCGTACTAATTTATTACGACACTTACATCTTTAAAAAATCTAAATAATTTTTTTAATTTGATTTTGATGTTCGGCATTTATATCAAAACAATGAAGACACCTTTCTGTTAAGTTTTGATTTATAACAATCTTTTTTAAAGTAAAGAAAGAGGAGATGTTAATTGACAGATTCTCTTTGTTTACATTTTTATGTGTATCCATGCTGTTTGAAAGCTTGGTAGAAATAGAAAACTCAAAACGAAAGTCGTTTTCATAGTATTGATATATACGACGACAGCTGTAGTTGAATATTGTAGTAAGAAGAGGGGAGTATGATACCTGTGATTCTGAAGAGCTTCATGTTTCTCCAGGCCGGTCAGATCAGGTCAGGAACACACAACAGACACACACTGATCATATAACAATTACAAATTACAAATTACCAAGCAAATATTCATATTTAAAAGAGAATAGAAGACTACACAAATTCCTCAGTTTTCTGATTCTCACTGTATATCTCACTGTATATCTCACTGTATATCTCATTGTATATCTCACTGTATATCTCACTGTATATCTCACTGTATATCTCACTGTATATCTCACTGTATATCTCACTGTATATCTCACTGTATATCTCACTGTATATCTCACTGTATATCTCNTTTTCGCTCAAACTCAGGATTTACAGATCTTTAAAAAGTTTAATATGTCTTAAATGAATCCGAAAGAAGTTTTCCACAACACTGCATACTCAGTTCAACTACCTTACATAGCCGGTCACTCCCTTTAAAGCAGCTTTATTTAAGAAAAAATTAGTATTAAAGAGTCACTATATTTATCGTCCACAGCCCCTTTAACTTAAAGGATTTTAAAATAAAAACATATTTTGGGTTCAGAGGAGAACAGTTTGGTCATAAAACTAAAATCTTGAAGGAGATTGATTTTATGCAACAGATCTGTGATACAATAGGTATTTTTCTTGTTGTTGTTATTGTTACTGTTATTATTATTTTTATTGTTTTATATTGGTTTTAGTATTTGTAATGTTGTTGTTGTTGTTGTTATTGTTATTGTTAATGTTACTGTTATTATTATTTTTATTGTTTTATATTGGTTTAGTATTTGTGATGTTGTTGTTGTAGTAGTTGTTGTTAATGTTATTGTTATTATTATTTTTATTGTAATTATTATTGTTATATTGTTTTATATTGGTTTGATATTTTTATTTATGTTGTGGTGTTGTTGTTGTTGTTTTTGTTGTTTTTGTTGTTGTTTGTATTGCTATTGTAATTTGTTTTTTGTTTGTATTTTTGTTTTTGTAGTTAATAATATTGTGAAATTTTTCAGATTTCTAGCTTAAGTTTTTTTGTTAAAGGAGGAGAATACACTGAACCTGAACCTGCTCCTACCCCAGCACCTCCTGCCCCTCCTCCCCAGGTAGATTTAATTTATTCAAGGCAAATATCAATATTTAAATACTAATAATTGATAAACTGATTAAATGAGTTAATGATTATTTTTTATTGATTTATTGCTATATTGCTATATTGCTATATTGCTATATTGTTATATTGCTTTATTGTTGTTCTATTTGTTTTGCTGATTTATTTATTCAATGCTTAAATGTGTTAACAATGGTAAAAGTTATCAATTTATTTTTATCTTTTAGAATCCTGTTCGGCTGAAAAGAAATGTATCTTTGGCTCACGATGCTGCCGCTTCTCTTACACATCATTAATCGATAATTGATCTGTCGATTTTCAATTGATTTATCAATCTATCTACAGTTTGAGGGACCTGGAAATTATTAAACCTAGCATAAACTTGATGACCAGACATGTAAATTGAGCTTTATCAAAATTGCGAATTGTCGCTTCTTTTAACCATTTATTTCTCTCTATTAAGATGCCTTAAAAATATATATATATATAATATATTTTAAACTTACTTTCCAAGAAAGGAAAATTCGATTACTTTCAGATAAAATGGCGGATCAGTTGAATGGAAATGGTAAACGCGGCATTGATGAAATCCACGAAGAATCAACTGATCCAACGGGATCAGCTGTTGTTAGTGAATTAGCTGATGATGGTGTTACTATGCTGGATGTATTGCAAGATGAGCAAGAGTTAGAAGAGGATGCGAATGTAAGTGACTTATTCAAAAATCAAAGCAGTCCCTTTTATCATAGTTGATATTTAATTCAGGCTGTCTTGGGAGCAGGAGACGATAAGAACTGTAGCTATGATCAGGGTTATGTAAAAAGGTGAAAACATTTTATTAATGTTTGTAATAATATTAAATTTCACCGAAAATGTTTTTTATAATAATTTGTTTAGACAAGCACTTTATGCCTGCACTACATGCTCAGTGCCAAGTTCTCCAGACTTCAAACCTGCAGGTACACAGGTCAGGTAGTTTAGGTAGGTCAAGTAGGCCAGGTTGGTCAAGATCTAGAAATCCCGGTTATAGTTAAGGTAGTTTATTTAGGTAAGGTAGTTCTGGTAGTTTTAGTGGTTTAGTGGGTCAGGTAGTTTAGGTAGTTCAGGTAGATCAGGTAGATCAGGTTGTTCAGGTAGATCAGGTTGTTCAGGTAGATCAGGTTGTTCAGGTAGTTTAGGTAGTTTAGGTAAATCAGGTAGATCAGGTTGTTTAGGTAGATCAGGTTGTTCAGGTAGATCAGGTTGTTCAGGTAGTTTAGGTAGTTCAGGTAGTTCAGGTAGATCAGGTAGATCAGGTTGTTTAGGTAGATCAGGTTGTTCAGGTTGTTCAGGTAGTTTAGGTAGATCAGGTTGTTTAGGTAGATCAGTTTGTTCAGGTAGTTTAGGTAGTTCAGGTAGTTCAGGTAGATCAGGTTGTTTACGTAGATCAGGTTGTTCAGGTTGTTCAGGTAGTTTAGGTAGATCAGGTAGTTCAGGTTGTTCAGTTTGTTCAGGTAGTTTAGGTAGTTTAGGTAGATCAGTTTGTTCAGGTAGTTCAGGTAGTTTAGGTAGATCAGTTTGTTCAGGTAGTTTAGGTAGTTTAGGTAGATCAGTTTGTTCAGGTAGTTTAGGTAGTTTAGGTAGATCAGTTTGTTCAGGTAGTTTAGGTAGTTAGGTAGCCAATTTTAACCATTTTCAATTTTGGGGGAGGTGGTTGCCACAATTAAATGCTTTAACAAGAGGCTGGTCTAGGGAGTTCATGTTTGGAGGTCTTCTCAGATGTGTGTTTATGTTAGGATTATTTTCAGGACTCCTCCTGGCGGAGTATATCAGAAAATTTCAGATTGTTGTCATGATATTCATTTGCAGAAAATGTTATATATTCAATATTTACGAATATCTAATTCGTGATTTAAAACTAGGAATTTGTTTGGCCTGTTCCTATCATTGCCATGATGGACACGAGATGGTGGAACTGTACACAAAGAGGAACTTCAAGTGTGACTGTGGTACACCCAGGTTCGTGACAGGAAATAGTCATTTTGCGCATTTTCAACTTTGGTTTGTCTTTAAGTTACTTTTGTTGATCTACAAACCTTAGGGATTCGCCCGATCGATGCATATCAGCCAGGCCCCTATTCTCCACACCTTTAAAACGTCCGGCTCTAACCTGGGAACTCATATATTTATCAGTAACAGATATAATATAGAATCACTTTCCTGCAATGTCAGGTCTGTGACAGGTTGAAAATCTATCACAAACATACTTATTAGGTTTAGAATAAGAGTGCCTACAATGGCTTAGAATATCAATAAACATGAATGTAGGTGAGACTATGAGGACGTTTCCTGGTGGTTCTATTTACTCAATAAATGAGATCTAATCTCAATAATGGGCAACATGTTACAAATACAATTTACAATATAAACACCGGGTCAACATCTGGGTGAGCTGCTAGCTGTTTCATCTGTCCAAGTCCTTAAATAGCTTTCATTAGCGAGCAATCTTAGCTCAACAACTTTTGTTAATGACATAGTTCAGTCATAGGGGAAGGGGAGACGTTCCCCCTTGAAAATTGGTTGAAACATCTCCATGGAAAATATCATTATGGTTTCTTTGATCCATTTACCAATCTCTGACAGATTAGAGTTTGGCATAAATATTGACTTATTTCTATCTCAATTGTTTATTAATATTTAAATTTATTATTATTATCATTGTCATTATCATTGTCATCATTGTCATCATTGTCATCATTGTCATCATTGTCATCATTGTCATCATTGTCGTCAATGTCGTCATTGTCGTCATTGTCATCATTGTCATCATTGTCATCATTGTCATCATTATGATCATCATTTTCATTATGTTTATGTAGGTCTGGACTGACAGCATGTAAGCTTCGACCTGGAAAGATTGAGAATGAGAACGTGTATAATCAGAATTACTCCGGAACTTACTGCTCCTGCTGTCGACCCTACCCTGATCCACAGGATCCAATCCAGGATCAGATGATCCAATGTATTGTCTGTGAAGATTGGTATCATGGTCGCCATCTTGGATTGGGGGCCGGGCCCCCTGAGGACTCATCGTATGCGGAGATGATCTGTTTGCATTGTGTTGCCAAATATCCTATTCTAAACCATTACCAGGGACTGCAGAATACAGGGGTACTTAACTTTCCTTATTATATTTGTTCTTCATTTCATCTTAATCTGAACTTGATCTTCATCTTCATCTTCATCCTGATCTTCATCTTCATCTTCATTTTCAACTTGTTCTTGATCTTGATCTTGATCTTGATCTTGATCTTGATTTTCATCTTCATCTTCATCCTGATCTTGATCTTGATCTTCATGTTCATCATCTTCATCTTCATCTTTATTTCCTCTTTATCCGAACTTTTATTCTGATCTTGATCTTGTTTTTTCTCTTGAGTTTGATTTAAATTATTTTTTTTTACCATTTAAACATTAAACAACACATAGCAGCACACTCGAGATCTTTATTCAAAATATATTATTAAGATGGTTTTTACTTATTATAAAATAAAAACCTTAGTCAACAAAAAAAAGCCGAAATCGGAATTTATGAATACCTGAGCTATTATCTTGTTCATAATTTCCTTTTATTCGATTCTAGAAATAAAAGGGCGTTGATTTTATAGATTTATATATTGCATCGCTATGTTATCTGTCCTACAATCATTGGTCCTTTCGTTCATGTCCTACACATCATTTGTCCTACAAATCATGTGTCCTTCCCATCATTTGTCCTAATGTCATTTGTGCTACCATCATTTGTCCTACAAATCATATGTCCTTCACATCATTTGTGCTACTATTTTTTGTCCTACACATAATTTGTCCTAAAAGCAAATCCCAAGATTTTGAATTGATTTAATTTTTGATGACAATCTTAAATTCAGGGAGCTCGAGATAAAGATGAATCTGTTAATGTTAATGTTGTTGACGTTGAAGTCAACAAAACAGTTGATTCTAGTACTCCAGGTAGACTAGGTAGACTAGGTAGACAATATAGACACGGGACACCAGGTAGACTAGGTAGACTAGGTAGACAAGGTAGACTTGGTAGACTAGGTAGACTAGGTAGACAAGGTAGACTAGGTAGACTAATTAGACTAATTAGACTAATTAGACTAATTAGACTAATTAGACTAATTAGACTAATTAGACTAATTAGACTAATTAGACTAATTATACTAAGAAGACTAAGAAGACTAAGAAGATTAAGAAGACTAATTAGACTAGATAGACTAGGTAGACTAGGTAGATTAATTAGACTACGAAGACTAGATAGACCAGGTAGACTTGGTATTCTGCATAGGTAGACTAGATAGATTAGTGGACAAGACAGAAAACAAGGTATTTTAAGAAAAAAAGATTAGATTGAAGAATTTACAAATTTATTTTTATGGGATAAAGATTCCTTGGAACCTGTCTGTAAACTACCAACCAATAATCCTGAGTTGACCGGAACCATGTTTCTCCCTGAAAACTGGCGCAGTAGCCTGTGCCAGTGTTCCTCCTGTGTTCTACAGTATACTCAACACAACATTAGTTTCCTTCTTGATAACACAGATACTGTCCATTATTATGAATCTCAAGGTACTAATATTATTTGCATACTCTTTGATTAATAACTACACAGATAGAACACTAGATGTCGTCTTTTCAAGATTTAGGGGTTTTTCGTTCACAATAACCCTGAGGCAGAGGCCTAAAGGAGTTATGCATGCGGCGTAGAACAGGCTCTCACTCTGTCTTGTTATTCAACACAGCATGTGCGTAACTCTTTTGGGCTTCTACGAAAAACCCCTAAATCTAGAAAAGACGACATCTAGTGTTCTATCTGTGTTGTTATTAACAAAATTGTGTTCTTAATGCTTCAGCTACAGTGGGACCCGAGCAACTGTGTGATACGAAGACGACTGTTAAGAAATCTTATTTGTGTTTAATATTGATATAAATCAAATAGTTATATTAGCAGTAGCTTGAAAATGGAATAGGTCTGTTTACAATAAACGATTGCTGTGTTTCCTGTTCATTAGACTATTTAAAATCAAAGTTTGAGTCTAACGTTCGTCTTCCTATTCCACAGTTTTATGGGTTTCTTGGTATGTAAAACAATTGTCTGACAGATGAAATTAACTCAAGGTTGTGGTGGATATTTATTAATTAATTTATATTTTAAAATCTTGTTGGAAAAGAGCAAATAGGGCCAAATAGTAAAACACGGGAAGGGGCAAATGGTATAGAAGAGGGGGGGGGATTTTTGAAAACTGTTGTCCTGATTTTAGGTTTATATAAAAAATGAAGAAAAAAACTTTATTTTTAAACAATAACAATGGTGTAGGGCTGAGCGAAAAAGGACAGTTTGAGCAGGGCATGGAAGTTCTCTCCCAGATGGACAGGGTTAAGCAGGTCCAGGCCATATCCATGTACAACAACATGAAGACTGATCTCATGGGCTTCCTCGCCGACTTCGCCAGGGAGGGGAAGGTCGTCAAACAAGAAGATATTCAAAACTTCTTTCAGGTGTCGTTTATTTAATTCTTAATAATTTTCTTTATTTTTTTTCTAAAAATAGATTTTACTTGGATTTTTTATTCACTTCCCATTTCATCCAACTTTTTCTGATGGTTTCGAGTTCGATCTAATTTATTATTTTTTATTATGTTCTTATACAATTCAAGTAACTGTCGTTACAAATACAATGTTATTTGCCCTTCCATACACCTTAATCATTTGATCAATTAGACTGGAGATGTTTTGAAGAGTGCTCAATTCTGTCAATTTCTTCCTAGGCAGAAATGCCAACGTCAATTTAAAGAGAAAAGATCATTTAAAATAAATGGAGGATTATTGTTTACGAACCTTCTAAAGGGGAAAATTTAATATTTTTTTTTTAATCAGGAGATGAAGTCCAAGAAGCGTCCCAAGTTGGATCTGCCCCCTCCAGACACCTGTAAATAGTTGGATATATACTAGACACGTTTAAATAGTTGGATCTATACCAGACACGTGTAAATAGTTGGATATATATATAATAGACACGTGTAAATAGTTGGATATATACCAGACATGTGTAAATAGTGGGATATATACTAGACACGTGTAAATAGTTGGATATATATAATAGACACGTGTAAATAGTTGGATATATACTAGACATGTGTAAATAGTTGGATATATACCAGACACGTGTAAATAGTTGGATATATATAATAGACACGTGTAAATAGTTGGATAAATACTAGACATGTGTAAATAGTTGGATATATACTAGACACGTCGTGTAAATAGTTTGATATATACTAGACACCTGTAAATAGTTGGATCTATACTAGACACGTGTAAATAGTTTGATATATACTAGACACGTGTAAATAGTCGTATATATACTAGACACGTGTAAATAGTTGGATATATACCAGACACGTGTAAATAGTTGGATATATACTAGACACGTGTAAATTGTTGGATCTATACCAAACACGTGTAAATAGTTGAATCTATACCAAACACGTGCAAATGGTTGGATCTATATCAAACACGTGTAAATAGTTGGATCAAACACGTGTAAAAATTAAATATTTGAATCCGTATCTATTTCTATCCCGGTGCATTCGTCCAATGTTTCCTAAAGATCTCACATTTTTTATTTTTGTTAAATTGTTCCAAATCTGTTAGCAATATGCATTTAATTCAAAATAAAAATAAACATATCAATATCTTTGTTTTCTCTGAAATTCGCAGAAACCACCAATACAATGGAAACCATCAAATCTCTATTACCAATTAGGAGAAAATTGACGTTTTTTTCTTAAAATATTTTTATTGATTTCTGAAAATTTGTGTAAAATTGTCTCTAAAGCACAATCCGCAAATCCTATTTATAAAGACACCACAGTTGAAATTCATCAAATTTCCCGAGAATGATATCTCATTTATCCTTGATCAGAGAAAGGTCACTTTTTATTCTTTAAAGAGCTAGTAGGAATGTTTTTAAGGAATTACTAATATACAATCAAGCTAATTTGCTTTATGGAGTGTCATTTGACTGATTTATTGATTTATTTTACCGCCGTTTGACCAACATTACCGCCCTATGATATGAGGAAATTTTCATGAAAATTTCAAAAAAAAATTTTCGTCAAAATGAAGTTAGTTTAATTTATTTTCTGCATTCTAAATAATATTATATTGATTAATGTTTCAATTGACAATCAAAATTCATTCATAATTTCGAGAATTGTCCCAGAAGTGTTCATTTGAGCAGACCCAGTTTAGAATTTTAGTGTGGAAGACCCAGTTCAGAATATGGTGTATTAGACCCATTTTAGAATACTGTGTAGCAGACCCAGTTTAGAATATAGTGTGGCAGACCAAGCTTAAAATATGGTTTTGCAGACCCAGTTTAGAATATGATTTAGTAGACCCAGTTTAGAATATGGTGTAGCAGACCCAGTTTAGAATATGGTGTAGCAGGCCCAGTTTTGAATATAGTGTGGCAGACCCAGATTAGAATAGTGTGGAAAACCCAGTTAAAAATATAGTGTGGCAGACACAGTTTAAAATATGGTTTTGCAAACTAAAATTTTGTAACAAAATTTTATTCCAGCAGTTGAAAGTTGAAACCAAAAAAATTTATTTAAATGTTGAACCTAGTGGTTCAAAGAAAATGTTTTTTTTATGAAAAACTTTGGTTAAAAGCAACCCAGCGGTGAAATCAACAAAGTTTCTGAAATATCTTAAACCCAGTGGTTGAAATCAACAAAGTTTAAGAAAAATCTTAAACCAAGTGGTTTAAAGCAAAAATGTTTTTCCAGAAAAACTGTTTTCCGTCAGTTGAAAGCAAAGAAGTTGCTAAATATTCTTAAACCCAGTGGTTGAAAGGAAAAAAAGTTGCTAAAAATTCTTGAACCTAGCAGTTGAAAGCATAAAAGTTGCTGAAAAATCTTCAACCCAGTTATTAAAACAAAAAAGTTGCCTTAAAAATGTTAAACCCAGTGGTTGAAAGCAAAAATATAATGTCTCAGCAGTTCTACAAATAAAAAAGTTTTTAAAAGTAAATAAAAATGATAATGAAAAAATTACAATTTTAGTGGTTGAACAAATTTTAAATTTGATGAAAAATGGTGGATTTCTTACTCTAGACTGCGACAAGTCTAGGCTAGTGATATTATATATCGTTCATCTAGTTCAACCTCTCCCGCTCATTTTTTTCTCCAAAGTATAGATCATTCCCAATAAACATGGGAATTAAAGGACATTTCCACAATCAACTTTGAATTTGAATTTAAATTTGAATTTGAATAAAAGTCAAAGATTGCAAGGAGAAAGTATTTTGTGTCTTATTAGACAAATCTCAATTATGAAGATCAATAATGGAAGAAAAACATTTTGGAATTCCCATATTCGTTGGGCCGCCAAAATAAGTAACGATAAATAGCTCACATTCAACAAAAAGTTGTTTATTTGCAGCAAAAGTTGGGTTACTGTCAAACAAGGGATATTTTGTTGAATTTACACAATGTTTTGTCGCTTCTTTGGCAATCATTCTCCTTATGCTGACAAATAATTGGAATACGTTTAATTTCGTAATTCATAGTGGGGATATGAAAATAAATTACCAAAAATACAGTAAAGTTAAAATAAACACAATTTTACTGGTTTAAAGCTAATATATTTATTCATTAGAGTAAGATTTTTTACATTCATTCAAATATTGTACAATAGCTTTTAGGTCTTAATAATAATGACTAAATCAAATATTAAAAATTGAGATTCATAATTGTTTGGCATTTTTTCAGGCAGTTTTGTGATATAATATATTGTTTAATGTTAAGGATGTAGACATGACGGTAAAATGTAAATAAAAGCCCTATCCATCCTCTCCTATAGAACCACTACTCCTTACATTACAACTTTGTAGTGTTTCTTTACAGGGTTACCCACAAAGAATGAGATTGAATTAACAACCCTAATCCTTAAAACATGATGATTCCAATGTTGAATTAGGTATACTGCCTTTTCTATAGGCATTTAAAGTAATATTTAATGATTTGGTTAGGGAGAAAGAAGTTTTACAGTACAGTAAAGTACTGTACAGTACAGTAAAGTACTGTACAGTACAGTAAAGTACTGTACAGTACAGTAAAGTACTGTACAGTACAGTAAAGTAATGTACAGTACAGTAAAGTACAGTACAGTACAGCACAGTACGGTACAGTACAGTACAGCACAGCACTGTACAGTACAGTACAGTGCTGCAAGGGATGGAAAGTACCTTGCAGCTTTTTTTGTCTGGATTACAAATATCTTACAAACTCAATCATATTTTAATTTATCATTTTGACCTACCTCATGACCAGGATTTCCAAAGGAATGGAAAAAACGTGTTGCAAAAATTTGTTGTTTAACCAAAATTATGCATTGCAATCTGCAGAAAAAAGATAAAAATTTTGTGGAAGAAAAAAAATTAAAATTTCGCGAAAAAAATTACGGATTTTCTGCAAACATAAATGTGATTATTCCGTGAAAATTTTCGCAAATATTGCATACAAAATTTTGTTGTGTGAAATTTGTTTACACAAAATTCCGCGCAAAAGTTTGCGAAATACGAAAAAAAAATTCACATGTTTTTCGAAAAATTTTCCACTGGAAACCCCAGTCATGGCATTTATATATGGTTTAGAAAATTTCAATCCAGTTCTGCGCTGGCTTAGCAATACTACAGTTGTTATGTTGCTGCACTAGCTTAGCTTTACTAAACTACAGCTGTTATGTTGCTGCATCAAGCTTAATTCTAATAGAAAAAATAGTTTATAACATTTTGGCAAATTATTAACAGCTTGTTTACATCATTGTTAAAATATGCAATACACTTTCTTTACTTTATGTTTTAAAGAGATCTTTCACTTGTAGAACGTGACTCAATAATATCTATAAATATTAACATGATATTTCATTCGACTTATTCAATACTCATGGTAAATTGTTTTTCTAATTACAGCACAATATGTTAGGATAAATCCAACTTTGACTTTCTAGAGAAGACAAAAACAGAATTCAAGACAGCACACCCACCACCACTTCTCATCTTCCTGATAGATAGATAGATGAATAGATAGATAGATAAATAGATAGATAAATGAATAGATGGATAGATGAATAGATAGATAGATGAATAGACAGATAAATGAATAGATAAAAAGAAAAATAGATGCACAATTGTATTGATGAAAGGATGAATAGATAAATAGATACAAAGTTAAATAGATGAATAGAAAAATAGATACAAAGAAAATAGATACATAGATAAATAGATTAATAGATAAGAGGATGTATGAATAGTTGAATGAATGAATGAATGAATGAATGAATGAATTAATTAATTAATTAATTAATACCTTGGTGTAAAGTTCTGGCTCTTGAGGAGTAATTAATGCAACTCCGTTACTCTCCTCTGATGGACGAGGAGGAGTAGCAGTTCCTTCAAGTCTAGATAGATAGATAGATAGATAGATAGATAGATAGATAGATAGATAGATAGATAGATAGATAGATAGATAGATAGATAGTTAGATAGATAGATCTATTGATAGATAGATAGATAGATAGATAAAAGGATAGATAGATAGATAGATAGATAGATAGTAAGATAGATAGATAGATAAAAGGATAGATAGATAGATAGATAGATAGATAGATAGTAAGATAGATAGATAAATAGATAGATAGATAGATAGAAGGATAGATAGATAGATAGATAGTAAGATAGATAGATAAATAGATAGATAGATAGATAGATAGATAGAAGGATAGATAGATAGATAGATATATATAGATAGATAGACAGATAGATAGATGGATAGATAGATAAATAGTTAGATATATAGATAGTTAGACATATATATAGATAGATATATAGATAGATAGATAAATAGATAAATAGATATATAGATAGATAGATAGATAAAGATATTAAGATAGACGTTATACCGTAATGTTCCATCTCTAGATGGTGGTGGTGGGGGAACCCTCCAATTTTGTCCTCCCCCTTCTCCTCCATTGCCTCCACCATTGCCTCCGACTGATCCATTTATTGGAGGTTCTGTGATGTTTCTACTTTGCAGACTCTAAATAAAGAAAATTGTGAAGACAAAAATTGCTCCTAAATAGTAAACGTGGACTGATACTGGTACATAAATCCATCTCATGTACAGTAACTATGGACTGATACTGGTACATAAATCCTTCTCTTGTATAGTAAACGTGGGCTTATACTGGTACATGAATACTTCTCCTGTATAGTAACTATGGACTGATACTGGTACATAAATCCTTCTCCTGAATAGTTAATGTGGGCTGATACTGGTACATAAATCCTTCTCCTGTATAGTAACTATGGACTGATACTGGTACATAAATCCTTCTCCTGTATAATAAACGTGGGCTGATACTGATACATAAATCCTTCTCCTGTATAATAAACGTGGGCTTATACTGGTACATAAATCCTTCTCCTGTATAATAAACGTGGGATGATACTGATATGCATGAATCCTTCTCTTCTTCTAGTATAACAAAAGGTAGTGCTGGTACTTGTAACATTAACCCTTCCCCCTTAACTAGCAAAGTAAAGAGTTGGGCTGATTCTGGTGCATAAATTCTTATTCTAGGGAAAGGTGTCGTTCCTGGAACAAGATTATTCTTACACGGGAACGAACGGAATGGAAAGGAAAAGAGCAAACGATTAAAAAAAGTAGGAACACGCCCAGCTCAAAGGCTTGACGTTGTTCCTAGTGAACAATCGTTCTTTCACAGGAACAAAGGAAACAAAATGGGACGGAACAAACAGTTTAAAAAAAGTAGGAACAACCACAGCTGAAGGGCTTGGGCAAAGTTCCTAGGGAATGATCATTCTTTCATGGGAACGAAGGAAACAGAATAGGATGGAAAAAACAATTTTAAAAAAGTAGTAACACACCCAGCTAAAGGGCTGGGGGTCGTTCCTGGGGAACGATCATTCTTTCTTTGGAACAATCTGACCAGAACAGAAAAGAGAAAAAAATTCAAAAAAGTATGAATATGCCCAGCCTACTCCGCATGTAGTAAAAGTTTGGCTGATTCTGCACTCCTCCTCACCTGTGTTTGTGGATTTGGAATAGGATCATAGCGTTCTGATGAGACTCCAAGAGGGGCTTGAGGAGGCCGGTCAAGCCGTTCAGCCTTGTTTAAATAGTATTTTTTATTTATAGCTTTAAAATCTGTTAACTGTAATTTTTAGATAAAACTATTTATTTCTTCATTAAAGGGAGGCAATAGGGATGCAATACTTATAGGAGGGAATATTACATTGCAGAGGCTTTGAGACCTAACAAGGTCGCGGGGAAGCCAAAAAATCTTTTTTTTAATCTAAAATTTAAACTTTTTTTGTAATTTTTAGATATATCTCAGAAAACTTGTGTCAATGGCAAAGATTTCTGGTTGATAATTCTGGCCTTAATATGTTCGACACCAGTTTGTTGGAGACTAAATGTCTGCAGGAATACACTGCGATTAACTTAGAAAGAGCTTTTACACAATTTATAATCCAAATGCATTTAAAGTATCTTAATAAATAGTTGCAGATAAAGAAAAATAATAGTACTTTTTGGTTAACCTGTCTTTCTGTATGTCTTAGGGGTTCGTATCTTTCCGCTGAGGGCTGAATAGGAACTAACTGTCTCTCTGACCGGTCATTCATCTAATAACGTCAAATAAAATACTGAAAAGAAATGAACTTGGAATCTTAGCAATTCCAATCTTTTACAGATGATATTTACGGTGGTGGTGTATTTTTCGACCTACACATATCCGCTATACTCCACTTCTGACCTACGCCAAATCCGCTATACAACACATCCGACCTACTAGCACGTGGTTTTACAGCTGCGATATGGACTTGTGGCCGCAGCGCCCGGCCCCCTAGCCTACCCTAGCCGCGGCGCTCGGCCCCCTAGCCTGTCCTAGCCGCAGCGCTCGGCCCAGAAATTGTCTTAACATAACCTAACCCTCATATAATACAAAAATAAACAGCTGGCGTAGAACCGATATTGCAGTAGGTCGGAAAGTTAGTAGGTCGGAAGTTCAGTAGGGGGGATATTGCGTATAGACGATGTAACATTATCTTTACGGTACCTGTCTATCATTTTGTCTGAGTTCTAGTCCCAGATGATATTTAAGTATCTGTCTATCATATGTCCTGCTGTATCCAGATGATATTTTAGTACCTGTCTATCATTTTGTCTGAGTTCTAGTCCCAGATGATATTTGAGTATCTGTCTATCATTTTGTCTGAGTTCTAGTCCCAGATGATATTTACGGTACCTGTCTATCATTTTGTCTGAGTTCTAGTCCCAGATGATATTTAATACCTGTCTATCATTTTGTCTGAGTTCTAGTCCCAGATGATATTTAAGTATCTGTCTATCATTTTGTCTGAGTTCTAGTCCTAGATGATATTTGAGTATCTGTCTATCATTTTGTCTGAGTTCTAGTCCCAGATGATATTAGTACCTGTCTATCATTTTGTCTGAGTTCTAGTCCCAGATAATATTTGAGTACCTGTCTATCATTTTGTCTGAGTTCTAGTCCCAGATAATATTTGAGTACCTGTCTATCCTTTTGTCTGAGTTCTAGTCCCAGATGATATTTACAGTACCTGTCTATCCTTTTGTCTGAGTTCTAGTCCCAGATGATATTTATGTATCTGTCTATCATTTTGTCTAAGTTCTAGTCCCACATTATATTTGAGCATTTGTCTTTCATTTTGTCTGAGTTCTAGTCCCAGATGATATTAGTACCTGTCTATCATTTTGTCTGAGTTCTAGTCCCAGATGATATTTAGTACCTGTCTATCATTTTGTCTGAGTGTTCGATTTCCAGAAGATATTTGAGTATCTGTCTATCATTTTGTCTTACTTCTAGTCCCAGATGATATTTAGTACCTGTCTATCATTTTGTCTGAGTGTTCGATTTCCAGATGATATTTGAGTAAGGGTTATACCATCCTGTAGAATCTGAATATATTTAACACTAGGATGTCTTTTTATTATTCTCTGGGTCAGAATATGAATATTGGAGGGTATCTGTGGGGGGGGGGTGCAAAAATGAAAACAATGAAAAATTGTCCCGTATCTACCATCTGTTCCTGTGAATCTAAAAGCCTTAATTGGATTGTGACAATTGCCTGTAAAGCTTTATCGTAATTGTAACGTATTTTTTCAAATTTGTTTTATTTACACAATTTGAAAGAATAAATGTTTTCTCTTGCTAGGACTGGGCACGTCCCGACTTTTTTGAAATTGTTCCGTTCAGTTCTAGAACAAGAGCCTTCAGCTAGATCCTTCAGGTGATCAAATCAAAAAAATCTTATAATTATTTCTAGACGATTAAGCATACAATATACATTCCTGATTTAAAATGCGTTCCTGACTTAGAACACATTCTTGATAATAAGAAGAGCATTTCTTATTTTAAATGTTCTTTTAAGATAATATCCATTCCGTTCTTCTCCGTTAACCGTTCCAATATCTTAAGAACCCCTTCTTTGTGTTCTGTTCTTTTTCAGAACGATGGGATTGTTCTTCATAGTAACGTTTGTTCTTGTGAAAGAACGATCGTTCTTGAAGAATGATCGTTCTTCAAGAGCTCCCGCCCGCTGCGATCTTGCCAGGCTAAAACGTGCTGGGTCAACTCTAAACTTGGCAGTCCAGGTAAGACAGTACGAATGAATGTATATACAGTAAATGTTGTACCGGCTCAGATCATGCAACTTTTAGAATGGGATACGGCATTTTAGCATAAAGCCAATAATGGCCTACAGGTGTGAAAAGGTTGAAGAAATTAATTTACCTGTCTGTCCCCCATTTGTCGGTCAAGGGTTGCAGAAATAGGAATACTCCCCCTTTCAATCTAAAGTAGTAAATAGTGTTTAAAGAGGGGGTGAGTGCAGAAGTCCTCTATGAGTAATCACCGCCACCCAAACGTACGTATTGTGGCATGCGCGCTCCTCAATTGGTAATCTCCACCACCGCAATTGGTAATCACCGTAACATCTTGTGAAAATTTGAAGTATTAAGTTCACTAATTATTTCTAGCTCTTCAATGCTAATTGAGGAGTGCGCATGCGCAAAGGTTCAAAAACGTAATTTTATTTCTAGCGATTCATGTGGCAAATTTATAGATTTTCGAAACTGAGGAGCAATAAAGAAAGCTTTTAAAACATTGTACACCATAGGGCCATTAACAAAGGTCAATTTGGTCTTATTTCTAAGAAATAGACTATTTAGCGGGTTTGTGAACAAAATAATAATCGTAATTTTTTCGAACATCGTGAAAAGACTTTTGTCAAAGATTTATTTTTAAAACTGCTGGTTGAGTAACAAAGCATTTTGGATATGTATACTTTTAAATTTTAATTAAGTAGCACAAATTTCGAGAAATCTTCGTTTTCGAATTCTTTTTTTGAAAGCTTTGTCAAACTTTCGCTTAAGAAATTTATCAAACATTTGGAAACTGCAGTGGTAATCCAGCTGAAACAAATAACATCCAAAAATCTTTCTCTTGTTTTCAGTTAATACTAAAATCAATTTTTAAAATAGAGTAGACCCCATTTTTAAAAGGTCATGAGATGTACAGTAATTTTTGCATGTACTCTATGGCATTTTTTAGCAACTCCAAATAACAGACGATCTCAATATCTTCTCGCTATTCCCATGTTCATTTGAGTAGACTTACCTTTTTTATTTCTATCATCTTGTAGGCCCCGCCCCCGTTCATAATTGCACTGTTCATCTTCACTGTGTCTTCTAGCTGGGAAAACGCATAATACTGAAAATAAATCTATAATCTATATATTTTTGGCTTGACTCTCTGTTTCTTGGTATCCAATTAGCATGAAAACGGCTGAACCATTCAGGCCTAATTTAAAATACAATCCAAGGAAAGGTTGTGGCCTGTTCATATGTTGCATATAAAAAAAATTACAAATCCACCAATTTTTATAGAAAAGTCCGCGAAATAATTAGATTTATTATGTTCGCAGGAAAAATGGCAGTTTAAAAAGCAACATTAATGCAGGCTAAAATTGTTACTAAAAAAAGGGATGCATAATGAAACCACTTGTAAATAGCCTTTGAATTTTAGATAATAAATAAATGACACAGATTAAATGTAAAAAGAATTTTCTGTCTTCTTTTATTTTCACTTCTGTAATAAATGCCCTACTCCAAAAAAATCCTTTTATACCAGTACCAATCAAGGTACATAACCTTCTGTATCCTCAATTAACTGTCTTACCAGATACAACTCAATCTCGAACTAAAGGATCCTCAATACTGTACCATCCAGATATAACTTAATCTCGAACTGGAGATTATTCAATACTTATCTCAAACTGGGGATTCCTCAATACAGTATTGTCCAGATACAACTTAATCTC